TTTTTGATATATACATGTTTTTCAGATTTAAGTCAGACTTTGAAAAACTTCTCATAAGACATTCAAAAGACTTTAATAAGACTTTCAGAAAATTTCCCGGAAGCCTTCACATGAAGTCTTCTAATGCATTTTATGCTAGAAGTCTTCTAAACCAAAAATATTTTACTTAATTGGAAATTTTCTCCTTATATAACTAAATTTACACATTTTCTCTTTTTTTTTCTTTAATAGCTGCAACAAAAATGTAATGTTTCTCAGTCTAAAACTCTTCAACCTCTCTATATTCTATTTGAATTTGAAAACCCCAAACTTTATATCAATTTCTCGTCTTTTTATTTCTTTCTCACTAATTAATCATTTGTCAAGGTTTTCACTACATGGTTATCATCTTTCGCTCAAAGCTAAATTTATAATTTTTGGATAGGTATATTGTGTGTGTTTATATGTTAGATTCTAAAAATTTGTAGATTCAACATAGTATGACTGTTTTATTTATTGTTTAAGTAATAAAAAATTATTTTGAAGTTTTTCTTTGTTTTGATGCAATTTCAATGTTATGGGATATTTAGGTTTTTCAAATATGAGACATACTTTGGAAGACTTCTTAGAATACTTCTCGGAAGACTTCCCGAAGATTTTCAAACAAGTCTTCCGAACCGAGAATATTTAACCTAAGTGTCTAAGTTTATCTATGTATAAGAATGATCTCAAGTTCCATATGTAATAATTTTGTTTATGGTATGTTTTATGCTTGGTATGTGTATTCTTTTAATTGTGAATTCTTTTGTAAATTTAAAGAGATGTTAATGAAAATAATGTGTTAAATATGTTCATGTCTACATTATATATTTTTTCCAAAAGTACTTAACATTATTGAAGTTGTTGATACAATATAGAAAGAAACATTTTAACCAAGATACTAAAACTAAGAAAGAAAAATTCTAAAGAAAACTTAGACAAATTCACAAAAGATTAAACGATATATAAGTCTCATTAGAAAAATTTTCAGAAGACTTCACTATAAATCTTCCGTTAACATTATCAATAACAGAAGACTTCTCGGAAAACTTAACGCAAATTAAACAAAAAATTTAAGTGGGAAATGAAATTTAAGCGGGAAATTAAAATTTAAGCAGGAAACTTAAATTTTAAATGAAAACTGAAAATTTAAATATCATGAAAGTTAAAAATTATATCATACGATCTAAGAAGACAAATTAAACCACAAGACTTGTCATTCATGAAGTTATTCAAAACTTTTGAAAGTTAAAAACATATCTTGAAGTTATTTAACTCTATTGAAAATATAAATTTTACAAAAAAAAACGTAGAAGATTTTCACATAAGTGTTCTGAGAGAATTTTTTTTAAGTCTTCTCTCATGAACTAGAAACATTAATAAACATGAATGTTTCATTCAGGACCCTAATATTGAATACTATACATGAATTACCAAGAAAATATTGATTTTTTTAAAAAAAAATTTAGAGAAAATGAAAGTTTATTAAACATCGACGTAATAGGCTTCCACGAAAAGAAATAAAAAAATTAATGGCATTTTGTGAATAGTTTGAACTTCTAGGGTGAAAAAGAAAAATGAAAATTTTTAAAAAATTCATGGATTCTTTTGCATTTGACATTTTATTTTGAGTCATACTTGCAAAACTCCCAATAATTATTACATCTATATTATTAAAATGGTCCCTTATTAAAATTAAAGTATCTTTTTGATATTTCCTTTTATTTACAGATATAGTCACTGCAATTAAAATAAATTCAAGAATAAGTTTTGGCACTTTCTATTATCTACAGATTATTCCACTGCATTTAAAATAAATTAAAACATATCTTTCCTAAAATCAAACTTAATTAATTTGACAGATTATACCAATATATATCTTTTGTAAATTCAAGCTTAATAATTTGAAATCATAACTTCCCAAGTATAATTAAATGGAAATAACTGTTAATAACTTTATTGAACATATCAAATATACAAAATTTAGAAATATAAATAATAAACATTTTTAAAAATTTAATACGTATCAGATTATTATGTATTATAAAAATTTGTGTTAGTATTAAATTAAACACCTAATAATGATGATAACAATAAATTAGTATACTTTTTAACTATGATAATAAAAACTAACTACAGTGAAACCTCTATAAATTGATAATGTTGGGACTAAACCAAAATTTAATTTTTTTTTATTAATTTATAGAGATAGAAATTTATCGATGTACTAATTAAACCAAAAACTCAATTTGGGACTATAAAATTATATTATTTTATAGAGATATTTAGTGTATCTTAATTTATCGAGTATTAATTTATAGAGGTTTTACTGTATTCCTAAGTTTACGCATTAATTATCATTCCTCACTTTCTATATCTTAACAAAATCTTCATTATATATGTTCATCATTAATAATTGTTTTAAATGGCAATATATCTTAACAAAATATTCAATAAAAGTAAATAATTCATTAATTTTACCTGAAAATAATTATATATATATATATATAAATTAATAAAAATAATAATATAGTAAAAAATTTTTACCATTTCATCAATATTAAAATATTAATTTTCCTGTCTAAAAATCCATTAATTTTATATAATAACTATTTTCTAAATTTTAAATATTATGTGCATGAATATTAGAAAACCTACATTAAGAAAATAAAACTTCAAATACTTAATTATTAGTATTACTATTTTTGTTAATTATTAGTGGATGTTGTTTCATATATTCATGAGATGCATCCTCTCGTTGTCTGGATCAGATGTACCAACAAAATCAACTACAATAGAGCAAAGTAAAACTCAATAAAAACAAGGAAGTTCAACTAAGGAAATGTTATACTCAAGACATTCATGGTTCCATGGATAAACTAATTTTAAATTTTTTTCTTATATATCTATATGGATTTTTTTTTTTAAAAAATTGGCCCCTTATATCTATATTTTTGGTTTTAAAAAAAAAAAAATAAGTCCCCTTAATAACATTGATTTGAAAAAAAAGAAATAATTGGGCCCAAGGCTCACACCCTTCTCACCCCTTGTCCTAAGCTGGCCCTGTCTTTGACGATGCCTTGCGAGCAGTCGGTCTGGAGATGCTCGTTCGTTTATGTGTTGATTTTGTTTACAAAGATCCTCTTTAAGCACTCAGACAAATAATGATCAATCTCTCTCATGCAGCACCCGCTCTCTTTTTTTGAAAATCTCAAAGTTTACATTAGTATATATCTGACTCTGTAGACAAATAATGATCAATCTCTCTCATGCAGCACCCGCTCTCTTTTTTTGAAAATCTCAAAGTTTACATTAGTATATATCTGACTCTGTAGAGACAATCCTTTTTACAGGTAAGGTAGGGGTGGGCATTTAGGTACCCATTCGGGTTCGGTTCGGATCTTTGCGGGTTCGGTTCGGATTCGGATAACCCATTTAAATTCTTTTTAAAATTTTTAAAATTTATTATATACTTTAAATTTCTAAAAATTTAGAAACACAAATAATTGAATAAAATAAGTCAAAATATCTAAAATAAACATATAAATTAGTTTGATTTGAATATTTGGATTGTGAATCAATAATTTTTTTAAGTGATTTTATGTTTTGAGTGTACTTTAGCAATTTTAGACATGTATGTTTGACTATTTACATATATTTACAAGTATTTTGAACAACTTCAAAGTATTTTATATATATACTGAATGTCTTTTATATATATTAAATCTAAAATAATTAATATATATAGGTATATAAATCTCTTTCAGATATATTCGGATACCCGAAATACTTCGGTTCGGGTCAGACTCGGTTTCGATTCTTTAAATACCAAAATTTTGAACCCATTTGGATATTGTATCAATTTCGGTTTGGATTCGATACTACTTTTTCGGATCGGATTCGGTTTAGTTCTTCGGATCCGGATTTTTTGCCCAGCCCTAGGCAAGGATACACATCGAACCATGCTTAAAGCACAGTAACCTGAGACAGAATCTTGAAACCAATTTTGACATATGAAAGGATTTTGTCCAAAGTGTAAGTTATGAGGAACCAGGGGCAGACCCAGAGCTCTATTTATATGGGGCACTTGGTATTATATATATTTGGTTCAAGGACATATAAATAAGTTTTGGACTAATTGCTTAAGAAAAATTCAAAAAGAATGTGGGGGCACATGTCACAGCTTTGTTCAACCTGCGTCCACCCCTTTGAGGAACTGAACAACAGTTTTTTTGAAACCCCCATTGATCTGGGTGATAACTTGCCAGAGAAACTAGGTTTCCCATATATAGAGTTAGGTACCAATCTTAAGTTCACCTCTAACGGAAGGTTGAGATAAGTTTCTTATTCATTAAAACAAATGAAAAAAAGTTTAGAAAAGAAGAGATATCATATCTGAAAGTGTATACTTTGAGATTCCCTCCTAATACTCTGACTCCACTTGTAGTTTAATTATTAGTTGGTTTCATTAAAGTTTTATTATTTATTCTAATTATATTAAAATTATTTATTTTTAATCGGTGAGAACCTTTAATATGGATTTTAACCATTGAGGTTGCCCTAAGGACCACTACTGCACTACAGTCATAACAACAATCAATGCAGCAACCCACATTTCTTTCTCAGTTTCGTAATTAGTGATTGGTAAACACTGGCTTTGTGCATATAAGCTTCAGATCCGAGGAAGCAATTTACAAGAAAATTGGATCTTACAAGTTACTGCCTACTTTTTACAATATCTTTCAAGTACAAGAGTAACTACTAGCACAAACTATTATTATATACTAATACAATACAAATTGTAAATAAAACGCATAACTTAGAACTTCTACGTACAATACAAGTTGATTTTTTCATTCTTTTTCTTAGAATCTGAAGATTTTGAATTTTTTTTTTCCAGAAATTTATGATCCCAAAAAATTTATTGATTCAACTTAATCTAAACACATAAAAAGCAACCATTAGAGTTAGAAAGGAATGATTCAAATATCCAAGTACAGGATGCTCTCACCCTGATCCATAAACATCAACTGAAAACGTGTGTTGGCTTTGTCCTTGCTAAACCAATGGTCCGGTATACCTTTAATTTCAATCTTTGTCATATCGTTTCTTGGCAGATCATAGCATAGAATGTGAAAGGGAGAAATCAAATCATATGGTGCAAAGAACACTTTGCCATGCTGAGTTGTACAACCTACCTTGAATGTAAGGTTATCGACCAAATGCAGCTGAGAAGGCTGCAAAACCAGAGTCTTCCTCGACCATTCCTTGTTCCCGGCATTTTCCAAAACCCATAAGTCCAGAACACCCTTGTCTGTAAGATGGCTGAAGTCAAGAACAATAACTTTGCCATCATATTCCATAAGACTCACTTTCTTGACCCTTCCAGGAATTAGGTCATCTTCGTCTCTTCGAGGAACTAGAATCAACTTGAACTCTTCGGATCTAATGTCAAAACTCACAACTGCATAAACGTACAAATCAATCAAAACAAGGTAATATATAACCCCATTGATAGACAGTCCTCGTCTGGTGGCAGCAGGAATGTGAGGACAAAAGTCTGGGGGAGCCATCTTTTTCCAGGAACCTCTAGGTTTTAGAACAAAGACCCAATGCTCAGGCATGATCTGATTATGTTTAGGTGCAATCGAGCAGATGACTTTGTACTGATCGTTGACAGGGTCGTGTCCGAAATAGTAGTAGACGGCCTCCACACGTTCCGATGGAGCTGGAGGTATGAATTTGGATTTAAAGGTGGGTAAGGTGACAAGTTGTCTAGTAGCAGGGTTATAGATTCTCGGCTTTCTGTAAAAGGTGTAGCACATGAAACCACGGAGATTTTGCCATATGTACCCTCCCCTACGTGGGGCGGTCAGATCGTGGTCAACAACAAAACAAGAAGAAGTTTGTGGAGCCGATATTACAGTGCTATAATTGTTGGCGAGATCCGCTAAACATATGTAAAACCTAGGACGCGGTTGGGAAGATACCGTAAAGAAGCGGTGGGTAAAATATTGGGAGCGAATGAGAGATGACCAGAGCTTTGATACGCACTTGAACCTCATGAGGGATTTAGCAGGAAGTCTCGTAAGAATCTCCCCCATCACAAGATCCATAGGAATCTTCGATATATGCGGTCGTCTTCGTCTTCTCCTCTTCATTCTCTTCCCATGGATCGGTGCCAGACGGAAAGACAAACCCATGGAGTAGCAAAATAGACCGAACCTCGACTTCTTTTTTTTTGTTATTAGGTTATTTATAAACAAAAAAAAAAGGAAAATAGGTATTTTTATTGTTTTCTTAAATTGAATCTTAACATATCCAATTTTCACTTCAAAAATATTAGTTGACTTTTGACACCAGTTATTTTGTCAAGATAACATTCAATAATTGTTATTTTAACTGAAATACTTATTTTATTATATAAAATAAATCATGTGATACTTTTATTATTATTATTATTATCATAATTTAAAATATTGCTAGATTTTTTTATTTTTCTTAATTACCTTCTTATTCTAGTCTACATATAAACAAGCAATTAGTGAAGTAGTAAAAAACTGGAAAGTAAATTGAGAAGTTAGTAAAACGTGGATACAAACACCAACATCCAAAAGTTTCACTTAGCAAAAGAGAGAGATTGGAAGAAAGTCTTAGCGTTCCTGTATGATGAAGGGGGGGGGGGGGGGGGTCT